AGACTTCAATTTTTGTTTTAGATAAGTTCTCAACCAAGTTCTTAAATTGAATCAAAGTAGCTTTGATTTCACTTTTGCATTTTAAAGGACATATCCACGACTATCAACCACAGTAGTCAACAAAGCGCACATAATATTTAAACTCATTAGTTGAGACAATAGAAGATGGTCTCAAACATTTATGCGTATTAACTTAAGAGGAGAATTTGAGTGCAAAGTAGAATTATCAAAGGAAAGATTGTGCATCTTTCCAAATTTGCAGGCCTCGTAGAAGAAGGATTTATTATACTAGAAACTTCAAAATTATAGGAATGCAAAATTTGAGAAAAAATACTAAATGATGGATGGCTTAGATGACAATGTCATGCCTCAATTTCATCACTTGAAAGCTTTTTTTTTTTTTTGAGAGATAGAATAACAAACTAAAGAATTATTTGAGGCTAAGTTGAAAGCATTATACAACCCATTTTCTTCACGTGTCCCTTGGTGGAGGATTGCCCTTGTCTTCTTGTCCTTCACACAATGAAACTTGGAGTGAAAATGAAAATATTGTTATCATTAGCTATTCTGCTAACACTTATTAAGTTCTTATCAACATCAGAAGAGTGCAAAATATCATTAAGTTGTAAACTTTGTCCATCAAAAGTACGTAATTTATTATTTCCAGTACGTTTGATGTGAAGTGGATACATATCACCAACAAATAAACCAACATTACCTGCATAACGAGTAACATCATCAAGCTGATTTACATCATTCATAACACAAGCTGTGGCACTACTATCAAAGTACCAGTTAGGATCATTAACTGTGTTTGATGTAGCAACAAATGTAAAGTGATGGGGAGGGTTGTCTTTGTTGTTTGAAGAAGGTCCGCTATAAGAGCGATCATGATAACAAGTTTTCATTGAATGATCGTCTTTCTTGCGGAGCTAGCAACAAACCTTACTTGTTCCCCTACTAAAGGTTCCTTGACCTTGTGAGTGACGTCCTCGGTCATGAGAATTAGAGTTGTTATGCTGGGAATGCGAGTTGGTGGCGAGATTGATCGTATGAGAACCTAAGCTCAAATTGCTTAAATTTTGAAGCTCTTCGAGACGAGGCTCAAACGTAAGAAGAGCGACTGGAGGTTTGACCCATGCATCAGAAGCACGCAACTCGAACCACGTAAAGTGGGCTGTGCACTGGGCTTTAATGTACTTCTTAAACAGCCCCTGCTTGGCTGAAATTCTTGAGAGGGTTCACGATTCCACGGGCCTCTCATCCGAGAACTTTCCATGCAAACACGGATGAGTTCTAGGATTTTGCCCTTGAAAACCGCACCTCCCTGAAGACAATCACAATCGTTCACAAAACATCTTTGCGTATTGCATTCGCGGTTGAAGATTGGGTCTCCCCGAAACCTAAGCTGCTTGTTACCTGGGCCTTTCTCCTTAATGTAGCTTAATTAGTCTTGGGCTAGCTGTCAATGCATTGCATATTATGGGCTAATATTTTACATCTCACTGACTTCAGAATCCTGTTTTACATTTTCATTTCGGGTACCTTAAACCTTCAACCCTATGTGCTGTTTGAGGATGTTGACAGCACGCAAGGAATCCATGATGTACCGTTTAAAGTATATCCTGCTTAAAAAACGATCAAACTCCAGTCTTCATATAAAGAGAATATTACTTTTCTTTTTTATAAATAAAAAAAAGGTTAAATAAACTCCTTTGAAGTTCTATGCTTTGATTTTTTTTTTAAAGTACACTCAGCTGTCCAAGCACGTTATTGATGTTTTGAAATATCGTTACAACTCTTATTCTACTTATTTTTCATCAAACATTTATTTTGCAGATAATAAAATCATGATATATTAAGCTTTGGCGTGAGATTATCACTTTATTCCAGTTCACACAACTCAACAATTTTATAAAAAAATCAACTTTCTTCATAATAATGAAATGAAATACCATACTGGAACCGATTTTTTTCAAATATTAAAGAGAAAAACAAACAAATAAAAATGGGAGAAGCTATTTTTTTTTTTCAGGGGCCTAGAATAAGTGCAGGTTTCGAAGACATCCTTTGACCAAAAAGGTTGGATGTCCTGAGAGGAGACAATTAGAGGTTACAGTTGTTATGATGCTGACAACAACTTAACTTTCTCAGGCAGGACGGCTTATTAGAGGTTCCTCTTACGTATCATATCCCCACCGCGCCTTTTCCAAGTCCTGGTCCACTTCCTCCCTCGTTTTACTCCTACGTTCCTCAAAAAGAACACTCCTACATTATCTTAATTATTACTACCTTCACTACAAAATCACTAGACCAAACCTACCTACCCGAAAAGTTCCTTCTCCCACCATAGGATCAGATTTTAAACGCTTCCAACCAAAAAAACACAAAAAAAGAAAGAAAAAAAAAACAGAGAGAGAGAAAGAAGTATCCCTAACCCCAAGTGAGAGAACGACAGACATTCCAGTTGTATCTCGTTGCTTTTGAGGTATGCCATTTCGTGTGTTCCCGAAGTTTATTTTTGTAATAATTGTCGTCGTCTCATTTCATGCGTATCCATTATTTTATTTGTTCTTATAAAATAGCCCCGGGCGTTCTTTAACACATTTGCATGCATGCATGCAAACAGGTGCCTCCACGAGACCCACGTGGCATATCGGTTGATGATATTATCAATTATTGTTATTATTCAGATTTTTTTTGTTCGGATTAAATTATAAATTATTTTTATTAACTTTATCAATATCAATAAAAAAATATAAAAAAGAGAAGTGTATAAAATTTTAAATATACATTAATAAATTTCAAAAATAATGTTACATTATTTTTTTATGAAATGTAATTTTAAAAATATTTTTTAAATATTATTTTAAAATTATATCATAATTTATAAATAAAATTAAATAAATATTTTAAAATATAACTTATAAATAAGAAGTTACCTAATGGTATTATGCTGCTCTTCAGATCGGGATGAGCAGTAAGAATCGATTTTCTCACGGCCTTTCATTGGAAAAGCGGAACACTGTGGCAGAACAGACGGGGTCCCACCAAATCCAACGAGCCACGGAGCATCATGATTAACGGGAGCATGAGTGAATTTACAATTACATGCAAGGCCGTGAAGAAAGACTGCGGCGGGTGAGGCGGTGACCATTAATTACGACCAGCACGCACGCTCTCTCTCGTAATTTTGGTTGGAATCGAATTATTATGGTTAAGCAAATCCCAGAGTTTCGACTTCAAAGAAAGCACTATCACATTCTGCTCATAATGACCGCATTGTTTGTGTTTAACAATTCCCCTTCACCGAGGACGAGCGTGAGATCCACGCCCATCCGAGAGGGAGGAACCGAGAGGGAGTGAGGGCATGCACGCTAGGGTGCGGTCGCGTGAGGCCGGGTGCGAGTAAATCGCAATGCGACGCTTAGCGTCTTGGGCTAATCGCAGTTTTTGCCCGTAGTTTACAAGGCGAATAGAGGGCATCTTTTGGAAAGCGGTGGTCGTCCCGTTTGTCGACCTCAGGTTCATCAATCTCTAGACGATCTGATTCTCTCTTCTCTCTCTTCGTGAATGTTTTTTGAATCTTTTGATCGAATGGGATCGGTATTCTCAGAGGACTTGTTCGGGCTTCGGCATCTGATGAATGTGGGGTCGCTTTAAGCTGGATTTAAAAAAAGAGAAAAGAAAATAGTCGGGGCTTTATCTTAGAATAATTCACACGACCTTTTTCTTTTGGCGGAAGAGTTTCTATCTTTGACCCGAAGAAATCTCACTGATAGCAGAAATACAGAGAGTGAGCCAAGAAGAGGGGGCAGGGCAAGGGTTGCTTTGATGATTGGGGAGGATCACATTGGAGATACTTTATCTCCTTCTCTCTCCTCCCCTTTAGCTTTTTTCTGAAAAAATAAAAAATGAGGGAAATTAATTAATGTACCGGGTATTGCATTACATTACTACTGGTAATGTTCTGGGATACCGTTGTTTCTTGGAGCAAGGGGCAAAATGGTGTTAGTGAGAATTTAAAAAGCAAATATTATTGTGGTTGACGGGTGTTAGATTCGAAGGCATGAGGGGAGTATGATGACGAAGTTGGATTTGTTCGGGTTCACGTGCTCCTCACGCTACGGGCATCCAGTGATGGGAGTCGGAGGTCCAAAAACTGATCGTTTGTTGAAGCAGAGATTTGACGGATTGGACGGCCTATAACAACTAACGGAGTAGGGCTGTTTTGGTTGACGGGAGCGGAGCGGTCATTGTTGTGTTGAATTTTACAGCCTCTAGCAGATCGCTTACATGATATTAATACGTATCCCACTGCCATGCGAGGGCGTGACACTGACACCAAATCTAAATCCATTTGTAGGCCACACAGTATTAATCGCTCGACGTTATAATTTAATTGGGATTGAAATGGAGAGGGGGATATTGGGAACAGAGCGTGTGGGGGAGAAGGTAAGGGGGGGAGCGTGAGTGGGGAACTATTCCATTTTCCTTGGGAGGCTGGCAGTGGCAGAGGCAGTGGCAGATACGGATACGGACAGAGGTTTTGATGTATTGGGTTTGAGGCTCATAAAGCCTCGTGATCGGCGAAGGCAGATCCATGGAAGACTGTTCCCCCTAGTCACGTGGCCTCTTTTGACCACCCAATGACCAACCCCCCCTCCCTAGTCTTTACCATCTCCAATTCATTTCCATTCCGTTACCATAGAAAATTTTGAAATGCCAACACTCTGATGCAGGATCAAATAATTTACTCAAACTCACGAAAAAGATAGAAACTGAAAACACTTGCTTATGCCCTACCACCCCCACTCCCACTGAGCACGCTCAGTCTTTCCCTTGATTTCTCCTCACTCAATCACCACCCCCTCCCCCAAATGTACTGGGTGGGTCCCTATCTGTCCGTGCCTTTATGTCTTCTCTCTCTCCTCTCTCTCTATATATACAGGTATGGACGTCTATCCCTTGGCAATTAACGACAACGTGGACTGCAGCTGCTGACTGATATTTCGCCATTTTATTAACTTATAAGGCTAACGGACAACTTCCCCTTCTCAATTCTCTCCCCTCTCTCGTCCCATTTAGCTCTCTCCCCCAAGCCCCACTCCTCCCGTTTCAAACATTTCATTATTGTCCCTCCCTCAATCCCTACTCTCCTGCTTGTACTTCACTGTTCTCTTGAAATCTATACACTCATCATCACCACACTACTCTCTCTCTCTCTCTCTCTCTCTCTCTCTGCGCTTTATTAAGCTTCTTTCCCGTTCATCTTCTTCCTCATCAGCGCCTTCAAATCGAAAGAAACCTTTGCTGTATTCTTCGGGGTCGTTGAGTTTGGGTGCATTTTTCCTTGAAACCACGCACGGTCATAGACGCGAGGCAATATGATGCACCGTTGCTGTGGCTCCCAGGGGCACGTGATTGGACCGTGTACATGTGGTATGATTCACGGCCAAAACAACTCCTTCTCCGTGCTATTCTCGATGCCCAACCACAACCATAAATCCTATGGTGACTGCGACATGTATTCTTTCACCCCCTCTCCTTCCTCTTCTGTTGACTGCACCCTCTCCCTTGGCACCCCCTCGACCCGTTTATCCGTAGACGAAGAAAAACGCAATCGCCATGACCATCGCTCTGTTTCAAACTTCTGCTGGGATTTATTACAATCCAAACACACCTCTCACTCCCACACCAAGTCCGGTCGCGGCGCTAATAGTAGTAACTCTTCCGGTGATCCCCTCCTTGCTCGTCGTTGTGCCAACTGCGACACCACTTCCACTCCCCTCTGGAGAAACGGCCCTAGAGGCCCCAAGGTAATTATTCAATTCTATGTTACGCATCTTTTACTCAAAATACTCGTTTTGTACTTAACTTCATCCATACAGAATGTCTCCCAGCATATATTAGACACTGGCGTTCAACTACTATCCGCGTTGAAGAGTGTCATGAATCTTTGTGTTGTACTTTGCGTTTTAAGTGTTTAACAGTGAATGAATGGTGTTACATGAATTATTGCAGTCTCTATGCAATGCCTGTGGGATTAGATTCAAGAAGGAAGAGAGAAGGGCAAGTGCTGTAGCCGCCACTACGGCGGCCAACTCAGGCAGTGTCATGGAGTCGGCGCCGATGTACACCGGTCAGCACAACACTTCGTGGTACGCGCACTCTCAAAGCCAGAAAATGCAGTGCATCTCTCCGGGGATGGGAAACGAGTTTCGCGTCTCGGACGACGCCGACCGCGGCATTCCGTTTCTCTCTTGGAGACTCAACGTTTCGGACAGACCGAGCCTCGTTCATGATTTCACGAGATGAAACGTTAGGAAAATGATGTTTGGATAATAGAAACGACAAGAGGAGTTATCTAGCGAGCCGACGGTCAAGATCACGCAGTTATGCTTCACGTTTTACGATGAGAATGCAGATGTTTTTGATGGCGATGGTTATGGTCTCCTCTCGTCAATATTTTTTTTTTTTCTCTTTCTGGTTTTAATGCCTTTTGACCTTGTCCTTTTTGTTCTCTTCCTCTTCTCCGCCTTGCCAAAGATGGAGTAAGAATGGGATAATCCGATGTTCTAAGATTGCTTTTTCTTATGAGTTTATTCTTTTAATTACATTTCTCTTACAGTTAAGAAAACCTACCTTTCTGTTGGATGGCCTTTTCTCTGGGGGGGGGGGGGAATGAATAAACAAATGGTGATGACAATGATCATGTGAACCGTCGGATCAATTTAGTTGCACGTTGGTATCATAATAACAAGGACCCCTTTTCAGGGGTTATAATCATAATTTCCTGAAAAGAGAGGAAACTTAATGATAGTTGTTTTCATTTTACTGAATTCCACGAGGCAGGTGCAGTGAGCACGGAGAGAACCGGGGTGGGGGGAGGGGAGGGGGTGTGCAGAGACTGATGTAATTGAACCAGTTGATGCAATTCTGACGGTCCAATTGTTGGATCACTGTTCTGTCTGAACCGGACACAGTGGTTCAGAACAGTGAAACTGATATGTCTCTTTTGAGTATTTTTTTTTTTTTTTGTCGACTGTATCGAATCTAACCGTCCAATGGAGCTCGCGTTACGCTGGCTGGGAACTTTTTGTACTAACTTTTATCCTCAGAGAATATTTTAATTAGATGAACTGCTCCCTAGCTCCCCCTTCCACGATAGCCAAGTCTCTGCTTGTAGATTTTTAATTATGGCACCAACTCAATAGAATAACATGTATCATGAGCTGTGCATTGACTGTACAAATACAATGCCAGCCGCAGACTAAGTAAAACCTTGATAATGAAATGCTTGAGATACAATATGTAGAGGACTTATGATCGATAAGAATGTGAAAGTTGTTGCGCCTGAGAGACCATTAGCTCATACTTATGTACTGTTGAAAATTCGAATTTACTGAAACTATTTTTTTAATTTTTCAGATTAAAACAACCTAAACTTTATGGTCCTTGATAACTAAAAAGGGCATTGTTCGACAGAAAAAAGCTTTTAAAGGTACAAATCCATGACAGATCAGAGGATCAAAAGAAAGTGAGAGGCTGAATCAAACGCCTTCACAGGAGCGCAATCCCCAGATCTATCGCTCGATAGAAAGGAATCTAATCTGCCCAAAGAAGTGCCAATACTTGGAATGGAACCCAAAGAGCAAATTAAAGCTGCCACTTACTTGTTAACGCAATTGAATTTACTGGTCAATTTTCAGGAGCTCCATTTACAATTTGTTTTGCTAGCAGTACAAAGTATAATTTTTTGTGATAGTAATTACAATGATATACGCAGTACATTTTTTATGAATTTTGTTGGACAAGGTTGAATAATTTAATATCCGATCCATTGATAACTCTAGGCAGATAAAACATATAGTAAACATGGCAGCCGCATGGGTGAAGTGATGATATGCACATATCTTCAAGACAAAAATCATCCGACTTTTAACGTACATAATGAAAGAAATCAGAAAACTTATCATACATGACTATGACTCATTTTAAAATCACGTTAACAAAAAGGCTAACTGTTTATTTGACTGGTTGGCAAAACTACCGTTGACGTGGTTAAGAGGAAATGATACCATCATCAGTGATCCTCGCCCTCGGCGGTCGGCGCAAGGACCTTGTGTGGCATGATTTGACTAGGGACGTGTTAATGTTTAGGGATTAATTTGTTTTTCTTTCATCAGAGGCTCAGCCTTCAATAGAAAGAAAGAAATAATGATATGCAAAACCATCAACTTTAAACTAATAAATTCAATATGATGGTTCACATTTAGTTATAAAAGCCTCGGTCTTTAAAAAACAGCTAGAGAGAAGCCGCTTCATGCAGTCTGCACGTGTTTAAAATGGAAGCGATTTCTCTCTACTTACTAGAGAGACCACTTGAATTGTAGACTATCAGGTTAAATTTGATGATTTTAAAAGACAAATTATAACATTAAAATTTGATTTCAATGATGAAGAATTGTAATAAAAATAGAATAAATTGGCCTAATGATTGTGAAAAATATATTAACCAAACATCATGGAAGAAGTTTTTAAAAATTTTACAATGTAACCAGTGTGATTTTTTCCTTTTATCGGCAAAACAAATAAAAAAAATTGTATAATTGAATAGCATAATTTGCATAACTCTATAATTATAATCATGACTCATTTACAATGATATATTACTTCAATATTCAAATACTTTTGAATACTTCACTGTCAACTTAATAGGCATAATGTATTTCAATTTTGAGAATGAGAATAAAATTTCATATTTGAGGAGAAATGGTGTTTCTGTCATTTCAATTTAACTTAAACATTAATCTGGCTATATTGCAAAATATTTGAAATGTCAAGCCATTATCTTTGCTTGGTTCTATTAAATGAGTTATATGGGCAAAAATCTCATAAAAATATAATAGAGAAAAATACAATGGAGATGATCCACGTGCATATTTATTTACAAAGGGTGACAAAAAAAAATACCCATATCATTTCATTATAGCTCAATAAAAAACTACCTTACTTATTCCGTTCAAAAATAAAAAATATTTTTAACTTAATATTATTTTTTAATAAAGTAATTATTTATCTTTCAACTAACTCTATCTTTTTATATCATCCCTATTTAATAGGGTGTTTTAACCTAAAATAAATATAAATTAATTTATTTAATAGAAATATTTTTTTTACAAATGCAATAATTACACATTAAAAAATTAAAAATATTTTATATTTTTAAATATATTTTTAAATGAAGGGACTATATGATTACAAGTTTCAAACAACTGTTTTCCATTTGATTATATCACACGGTCCTTGAACCTTAAAATATATAAATCATAGGCAGCTAGGGGCGAGCTTCTGTTGTGCGACCATGACCTTATCTCGTTTTCGAGGTATTGAGTGAGTCAGGGTCCACTCCAAATACATTTCAATGACTCTGCTCCAATATATTCCCCAGCCCTAATTTACAAAACTTTTTTAAAAGAGATCTAGTATAAAAAATTAACAGATATTTTTACAGAAACAATGTTTTATTAATTATTCGTTTTCAATGTTTTCTTATCATATCTATATAGTCTCTTTTTTTAATATTATTCTATAAATTGAGTATTAAATAAATGACACATTTAAAAATTTATATTCTTATTTAGAAAAGGTATAAAATTATAAAGTGTATTTAATAAATTTATTGATATATATGAGTGTTTTGTTCAAAAGTAATGTGGTATTATTCAAGCCTTTATATCGTCCTTCAAGTATTTTCTTCCTTAATTAGAGATTAATATGTCCTCCTAATCATTCAAATGCAAGAATGTCTGTTGACGCGTGGCATATTTTTGGATATTAATGTAAAATGGAAAGGGAAGAGGAGGACGAAAGAGAAGAGAAAGGAGGAGGAGGAAGTCCAAAATTCTTTAAAAAAAAATGTAAGTTAAGATCCAATTTTATTCTTATACTTATTATTTAGGAGCACTAAGCATCACATACTCTTAAGTAGAATAATTTTATTCCTGAACTATTTTTTTATGAGCAAAAATCCCCTTCCGTTAATGAATTATTAACTCTATCATTATATACTAAGGTAGCATGTGTGTGAGGCCCATGTACAATAATATGTAAGACTCTGATCATATTTTTTGTGTTATTTCGCCCTAGAACTTTTTTTTAGGAGTGTTAAATACCTTAAAATTTTTTTTCTAGAAGTGCTGAGCACCTTAAAATCTTATTAAAATAAAATTTAAAAAATATTGTGAAAATATTAAGTATTTTAATATTTAATAATTTAAATATTATTATTTAAAATATTACATCACCCAATTTAATATTTATAATATTTTAAAAATAAAAGGAATGTATCTATAAATTAATGAAGGGATTTTTTCTTTTCATCTTTTCAATTTTTTTTTTGTTAAGTGACTTTTTTATAGCACATTAATGGAATAAGCTATATCTTTTAAATAAATATTTTTGTTGTCATTTTGTTCATTCTGATTGTCATATTTTTAATTTTATCCCTAACACTAAAATATACAAAAAGTATTAAATTTGGATAATGTAATATTTTAGAAGAAGATCGTTAGTTGACAAAAAAAATTTAAGGAACTTAATCAATCTTAAAAATATAAGTTCCGACATGCATAGAAAGTGTAATAATTTGGACATTGTCTTGGAAAGAAGTCATTTATAAATTTATAAAATGCTAGTTTGAATTGTTAATATTTAAAAAATAATTATAAATTTTGAAAGAATGTTTATAAATAATTTTAAATTATTAAATGTGAAAATATTTGATATTTTAGTAATATTTATTAAATTTTATTTTAATAAGACTTGAAGGTACTCAATGCCCTTAAAAAAAACTTTAGGATGCTCAACGCTCTTAAAAAAAAGTTCAAAGGAAGATTATTATCGAAAAATATAGTCAAAGTCTTACATGTCACTATGTATGGGCCCTACACACATGCCACGTTAGCATATAACAGTAGAGTTAATAATTCATTAATGGAGATTTTTGCTCCTTGAAAAAATAGTCTTGGGATAAAATTGCTCCAATAAAGAGTATAGAATACCCAGCACTCCTAAAAAATAAATACATGAATAAAATTAGACCTTAACCTAAATTTTTATTCAATAATAATCAAGATTGAATGCAAATGAAAACCGCCAGCTCTATTTATAGAGTCTTAAAATAATAAAATAATAATGACTTAAATTCAAATCTCAAATCCTAAGCCTAAATCAAATCCTCAATATACTCATATCTAAGATAAAAAAACATAAATAATTGAAAATATTTATAATTAATTAGTATCCTTATTAGATAATCCTAATATTTTAAATTAAATTTAATTATATTTTATCCCACATTACATCATTTCTCCCCATTTGAGGAACTTAGCTTTTGATGAATTAAAATTAAGGTATGGATCAAGGAAGGAAAATGTGAGATAAATTTCAGTAGAGTGCTCAAATCTAAAAATCTTTTCCAGCAAGTAAGACATTGAAAAAGAAAGCTTTGAGCATCTGGGAATTCCTTCCAACAAGTTAGGTAGCAAGTGAACAAGCTTTGATAAGAATGAGTAGTTTGACCATGAAGAATCTCTAGAAAATCTTTTTAATGGACAGGGCATTGTTAGATTTGACCATTAAGTAGCGGAGTGACCATGGAAGACATAGCCTGCAGACGATAAATGGTTATAGCACAATGAGATTAATCCTTGCTAGGAACAATTTGAGAAGGAGCCACTTGTACTAGTGTATAGTAGATAATTTGATTATTGTTTGGAGAATCTTTTACTGGTAAGGAAGGAGCTTCTATCATTATTAGCTTGCTTGATACTTGTTCTTCCATTTGTTTCCTCAATTCATTAACTATCCTCTTAATCTCATAAGTTGCCTTCTTAACTTTACTACAACCCTTCCTAAGCTTGTCAAAATAATAATTTTGTTCTTGTTGAAAGTAATCCATTTTAACTATAATTTGGTCTACGTCCTCTTAAAAGTTAGCATATTCACAATGGCAATGTGTATCATCCTCATATTGATAAACACAATCATGTAATTGTCACAATGAGCTTGCTCATATCACTAACGACTTGTGTACTCATATCGTTGTTATTCATAAACATACCAATAGCTCTCTTGCTAATAAGTATCCTGCGACGGATAGGCATACTGTTGTTGATATTTTTTACATGGATGCCGATGAGAACAATCCTCTTGCTACTAAGCACGTTGTGGTGGATCAGCATATTCGTATCAATAGCCTAAATGTGTGTATGTATTGTAGATCATATTAGTAATTAAGCATCATGAAAATTTTTTCCTCTTTTTTTTCTTTTATTCTTCCATTTTCCTTTTCTCTTTTTGTTTTCCTTTTTTCCTCTTTGTTCCCTATTTTTATGGAATACAAAAATTTAAATCAATAAAAAATAAAAAATTACCCAAAATGCTGCAAACATATGAAAAAATTGCAAAATTTTAAGATCCAACAATGAACAAATTCGTGGAAGGTGATGGAGACACTCTAGTTAGTTGTGCTAAATAGTAAGTTCACTATGTTTTGTTTGGACATTTGAATTTTAATGAAAAAGTTGCATTTTCTAAGATTAGCAGCAAAAATGTGATGGAAATCTAAATTTGATATCAAATTGATGTAAAACGAGAAGGGAAGAGAAGGAAAGAAAGGAGGAGGAAGGTTGAAACTTTTACAAATTCTTATTCAATAATAATTAAAACTGTCTTTAATAAATCAATATCTTTATTTAAATATTTTTATTGGATAATTTTAATATTTTAAATTAAATTTAATTATATTTTATTCCATGGTATACCATATAAGCTTTTTATTTTTTTTGGGTAGAAACCATATATGCTTTTGGTTAGCTAAACACGCTAACACAGAGACGAGACTAACCCTTCTTTGGCCCAGGGTCCATTGACTAACGGGAGCGGGAAATATGAAACCCTGGCCCCATTTATACCCCGCGATTTCTACACATTATTTACGAAGGAGCAATAATGCTATCACATTTATTGGAGATCACAATTTTTTGAGTAGAAAGCCAGCTGCTTGAGAATTGAATGTGGTGCCTTGGATCCTCCAGACGTGCTCTTTTTTTCGAAAGAAAAAGATAGTTGGCAACAAAATTTCACTCCAAAAAACTTCATTTTTTTTTAACCTTAATCCCAGTTCTGAAACAAAAGCTATTCCCTATCAATCTTTTCCAAACAAGATTAAATTGTCGTAAACCTCAATTTTCTTTTGGGCCTCACGACTCAATTAGCTCCGGTTCCATCACGACAGAACCACCGCACAAGACGGAGATTACAGTCAAGTCCACTTACATCACACTCTTTGATGATTAGGAGGTGTTCAATCCTCTCCACATTCTCTTTTCGTGTCTCTTCCCATACTTAATCTCATCAAATTATTTATTTTTTGTTTGATTTAATGGGGTAAGATTATTAACGGGTGGAATTAAACTAAATATATTACTTATTTAATTACTACCATAAAAAATATTATGACCTTTTTGTATTAAAAAGTATTTGAGTGATGATGATAAATATAAGACCATCAAATCAAATAAATAATTAAATGAACATATAAAGAAAGAGAGAGTTAGATCTGAATTTGACTGACTTAAAGAATTTGTATAGAAAGTAGAAAACGCTCTTTTATGAGCCGATGTTCTCCTATTTATCCTTCTAAATAATCTAATCCCAACAGAATTCAACAATGCAATGTATATCCGAGCAAACCTTGAGAACGGAAAACTACACATCACAAATTTATCAACCTTATCAAAATAGAAATCATCCGATAAACGCTGCCTGAATTTCTTCCAAAGTTTTTTCCTTGGTCTCAGGAACCCAAAGTTTGACAAAAGCAACCGCAAAGAAGGAGAAAACTGCATAAATGGCGAAAGTCCCTGTTCGCAACCAGGACATGTATTATATTCCAAGCCATGCGCGAAATCAGAGAGACGAAGGCAAGACGTTGACTGAATGAACTCACTGACCTGCACTGCTCCAATTTAAGAGCAAGTTGGCGGTCATGGTGATCCCCCACGCAGTGAACCAATTTAAAAATGTGGCCAAGCTTCCAGCAAGGCCCTTAATATCCGGTGGAAGTATCTGCATTTGAAAGCCCCATTTGATGAAATTTCACTATGTTCTTCTGTAAAAATTCCTTCTGGAAATCCACTCTTGAGCCTACATTTGATGTACAACACATGCATATGTTTGCATACCTCAGACATCAGAAGCCAGGGCAGCGGTCCCATGCCTAGAGAATAACCAACGCCCATAGCCTAAACAACAAAATGCAGAGAGTCATTGCTGATGGAAGAACCTGAAGCACGCACGCAGAGATATGTAAACCATGCCTGTATATGTATAAATTCATACCACAACCCCCCCCGGCACTGAGCATCCCCAGAACTTTTTGTAGGTCAGAATCGTTTGATATGACTCCCTGAAAGCAATCAAAACGATTTTGGATCAGTGCTAATCAAACTCGTGACATCAACTCGTGATTTCTGAATCACCAACCTCCATGAAGAATGCTGTAGAAATAACAACGAGGCTAAGTGTCATCAGAATGGATGATACCTGCGAAGAGTTTTCATATTTCTAATCAAACATAAATTTTGGTGGATATTTGATCTGTTGTAAGGTTTGTTTGCATAATATACTCACCGTCAGAAGCACCCTCCGCCCAGTTTTGTCCACCAGCCACACAGTGAACCCGGACATCACCACCTGCGCATCTAACTATTAGAAAAGTAATGTGAATTCATTAATTAGAAAACTGTTGAATATTAAGCTCAATACTTCAGAATACAGTTTTCGACCTGAATAACCCCAAATCCAAATGTAACACCATCACTGGACGTAATCCCTATTATACCATGGAAATGAAACTCACAGTCAGGAGATCATATAGATAACTCAGACGACAGGCAATTTTACGGTAAAGTGGTTCTTTACCTGCGGTTGCAAAGATCTTGCTAGAATAGAAGAAAACTCCCGTCATACCAGTTAATTGCTGAAGCACAAGCAATCCGACCCCTACCTGCAACAACTCTGATATTCTTCGGAACTAACCAAACAAGGAAAATAACAAGAGGAATGAGAAGGGATCAGACCGTTAAAGGAAACCAATATCTTCTTCTCTTAAGATCTGCTAACTGGACTGTTTCTGTTTTGTCGGTGGACGACAGTGATTCCTGTCCCAAGAACATAGTTCAGTATAGTGTCTTGTCTCGTTCCCAAGTTTATATTTAAAGTTTCTAACAAGACCGGGTTAACATGGCGGGTACTTGGATTTCTCGAGCTTCCATCGTAATATCAGCATGAGGTCCTCGAAGAACTTGTAACGAAGCCTCAAACTTTTCTTTCATCCCCATTCCGGCCTGGAAACCCCATGCAAGAGAAACTCAGACAGTGGTGACGTGAAGATGTAGCAGAATCAGTTGCATTTATGGCATTAAAATATTTTTCACGATGCATACCAACCATCTAGGAGATTCGGGAATGAACAATAACCCAGGTATTAAAATAGCACAAGGCAAACTTCCTGCACAGAATTGGATAAATGGTTCACTATATTTTTATTATTGTTGTTACTGAATTTGAGTTATCAATCATTTCAGGGGGAAAAAAAACATGGAAAACAGAAAAGTTAATTTGACCTTGGAGAAACGAGAATAATTAGGGACTTACCAAGAGCTGCTAACACTCTCCAGTTGACAAAAAGCCCCACCAGATAAGTTATCATTATTCCTATCTGAATTGAAAGCTAAAAGGGGGGAAAATAAACAGAGTTATGAAAATCGATCATTTGTCAACGAACAATTTTAAGACTCAATTCAAAGCAGCATGAAAATGGAATCAACCTGGTTCACAGATCCAAGGCTACCTCTCATGGTTCGAGGTGATACCTCTGCTATATAGACAGGTACCTAAGACATAAAAACTGTTTTAAAAAAGTGCTTTACCTTAATTAATCAATTTATCTGACATTCCGATTTATAAGTTGGAAAAAACTATAGAGAGCAGAGGAAGTGGACATGTACAAAAGTCGGGTTCGATAGATTACCACATAAGATATTATTCCGACACCAAAACCTTCCAACAGTCTCCCCAGGAATAGAAGCGATGATTCCTACAAATTCAGGGGCATTATATATCGTTAAAATGTAGGGAAGTTGCTAAGGGCATTAATAGCTTTGGTATTTGACCACTCAGCACTTACACCGGCCATAGAAATGGCTAGCCATCCTATGACATTTGGGATGGCAGCTATCATCAGGGACTGCATAGTCATATCGGCAAAGCCAAAACAACATTCATTAGTTTATAACGAGGACGACTTAAATTTCGGGATTCATATTTGTTATTAGGCGGATGATTTTCATTAAGGACGCGTATCTCATAGCTCTGAAACGTACAAAGATCTAGTGCTTCCAGAAATGAGAATGCTTTAACAACTCCTTGTGTGTACACTGTACACAAACCAATACTTAAAATTTTTACAAGTGGCCCATTCTTTTCTTCTTCTTGTTTTTTTTTTTTTCATTTTTCCAATCATAGCAACCAGAAAGTTATATAGAACAGTATAATACCCCCTTACGCCCATAGTAATCTGCTATTTGACCACTGGATGTTGCTCCCACCATGGCACCCACGTTCGACAGTGATCCAAATATAGAGAACTGATCCCATCATTATATTCATCTAGAGTGAATCAAGTAATTAAAGAAAAAGGACAAAAAATGGCGGCCAAAACACAGTCAAATAATTGAGAGAGAAGCGAATGATCAGACCCTTGAGATTGAGAGATTTAGATCTCTAATTATATTCACTTGAGTTGGAGAAGAATACGCGCACTGCACGGATATATTATGACAGAGATACGAGTCAGTCAATATTAAAAAAAAAAAAAAGCTTAAAGAGGGATCATGTACACGACGTCGTATTCAACGAGATGGGGGTATGAATGTGAAGCACCGTGATACCGAACTGGAAAGGACCCAACGCAACTATGAGGACGCAGACCAAAACAAAGAGAGAGCTTTCTCGAGCATTGGTTGATCCCAGGAATGGCTTCCTCACGCTCGCGCTGTTCTCCACATCGTTCCTCGAATTCATTGCTGCTTACGTCCCGGGATTTCACGGATGAGTCCGTCAGTCTTCATCAACAACAATAATAAAAAGATATATATATATATATATATATTGGATTCTTTGAGGTTGTAAAAAGGTAAAGAAAAGGATGTGAGATGCTTTATATAGGAGAAGCTTCAGGATTATGTGTTCCTCCATGAGTGAGCCAGCAAGGTGCCTACAAATGAGAGTGTCGGAGACTTGTCCGCGTCATCTGGGCGTGCGAGAAATAAGGCGATCCCGATCCCTTGATCGTGTCCTTTGCCCTGTTTAAGATGCTCGTCTTTTTCGAAAGATTAAGGACATGTTTCGTAATCTATTTTGTGGGACTGTTCTCCGGAGCCAAAAAATAAAAAAATAAAAAAATTATTTGATAACTGTTTTTAAAAAAATTTTGGAGATTAAAAAAATAAAAATATCTTTTAAGTGTTTTAAAATTATTATTCTAGAGGCAAAATAAAAAAATTATTTTTATTATTTTTATTTTCACAATATATTCTACAAAACATCATTTCTAAAAATAATAAAATAAAAATAATTTTAAATAGGCTCTGGCGTTCTTCTTTTCAGTCCAAATTAATTTAACACCCCAATCATATTTACATGGAACGTTGAACGTTCACAAATGAATGTTTTTTATAAGTAATAAATAATTAAATCATCAAAATCAATAGATATATTTTTTTAAAAAAATGCTCGTATTAAATGTTTGATATAATGATTTATTAATGACACAAATTGTTTCATATAATTGAAATCTCAAAAATTTAAAAACTTTGGAAAGAAGATAATATTGAGTACTTGATTTAATTTTAGAATGTTTTGGCAAAAAAAAAAAGATTTAATTTTAGAATGGAAAGTATTAATATAAATATAAAATAAAAAAATAAAAATCTAACTAAAATATTAACTTATATTAATAGTTTAAATTCTTTTTCACAAATTTACATTATTTATAGGACAATACTTTAAAAATTTAAGTGGCTGTTATTGGTTAGTGTTTAAATTTTTTTTTTTCTATTTTAACTTTCCCTATTTGAAGGATATCTATGTGCAAACAAAATTTTGTTTAATTATATTTAAAATAAATTAATTTGTAAGATAACATTAAATGAATTAACTGTATTGTTTATTAAGAGCGAAATCTTATACAGTAATTATAGTATTTGTAAACTTTGTCACACCTTGCAACTCTGAAAATTAGAATGATGTTAGTAAACATTAATAAATTACAATACACTAAGCTTTTTAATATTTAATAATATGCCTAGAACTCCAAATATTTTTTGACGCGACCTTAAACTAACGGCCTGTTTGACATTATAATCAATTTTGGGGTTCAAATAATCAATTTTTGGAGAAATTATCCAAACAGCAAAAAAAATTAATAATTAATTATTGAATCAGAATTATGTTTTAAAATAAACTTTGAGAAATTACTTGTATATTCAATTTTGCTATTGAATAATATATTTTATTTCTTAAATAAAGTTTAACAAATTTAATAATATTAAATATAATTTTATCAATAATTTAATTTTAAAAAACAATATCCTTTATGATAATTTATACCACTAAAATCATTTTTAATATCCAAATAGATTGCATTATAATATAATTAATTATATTAATAACTAATTTTTATAATTAATTATACTCAATTAAAATCCAAACAGATCCTAAGAAAATGCTCATGCTATAGCCTTTCTGAATAATCAGCAGCAGTCTCGAATTATTCAAGGAGCCTACCAATCTATTCATTTACAAACGTAGGCAATCCCGAAATGTAAAGGATGGGGAGAATGTTTATGGTTTTACAAACGAATTGACATTCTGTACATTTATCCCTTTATATTCTCTAATCCTCATAAATCTGCTGTGGAGAATGAGAAACTATAAAATCCACAGACTAACGCTTCTATGTTCATCATGATTAGTCAGCAACAATGCTCAAAGGATCAAGATAAAAATCGATTATCTGCAATTAATAATCTCAACTGACTGCTTTGTTTATTTGCGAAGAAAGAAACTTCTACATGTGTTTTGAATTCAGATCCAACTCAGCTCGTGCATGCAGTGAAAAAGAAAATGACACATCAACCAATACATAGGAATATAAATAGAATTGATAAAACAACAGAAGATATTTGGTATAATGGTCTGTTGAAACAAGTGCGCTTGGAACAAGATCATCTAAAGGATGACTGAATTTCTTCCAAAGTTCTCCCCTTGGTCTCAGGGACCCAAATTGCTACAAAAACAATGGTAAAGGCCCCTACTACCGCATAGATCGTGAATGTTCCTGCGGACAGTCAAAATTCATCATTGTATTGATAGGCACACATGTCACGACACGACATGCAAGAATGTGTTTAACGGGTTAGTGGTATTGGGTGGCCTACTGGCGGGGACCATGCAAAGAGCAAATCATGTGGGTCCAATTAAAATTATATCTTGTTGGCTAAAAATTTGGTAAATTCATATTCAAGCTATGCAAGTAACATTAGAAAAATAATCTGTATGTTATTCCATTCCATTAATGATTCCCTCTTTTATCTCATGGAACTTTCAAACAATGGTATGGCTCTTTTCGTTTCACCCCATGCATCCATTTCTTTCCATTATCTCATGAACTCCCAAACATAAAGGTATTATGATGATTTATGCGTATAAATGCAATGGTCATCATAGTTTTCACAATGCCACTTGCAGGTCCTAGGTGAACTAAGGTGAGTGAGAGAGAGAGAGAGAGAGAGAGACCTCCACTGCTCCAAGATAAAAGCAAGTTTGCAGTCATTGTGATCCCCCAAGAAGTAAACCAATTCAACAAGGTGGCTCCACTGCCAGCTAGGCCTTTTATATTCACTGGAAGTATCTGAAAATGACGATTTAGAAAAAAGTGAGTGACTCCCAGCGTATCCAGTAAACAATTATACCTGTGACCCATATTTCTAAGGGTTTGCGAGACGCATAGTGCCTTAAGAAACAAGAATACATAAGGAAACCCAAAAGCATTTTCTGAATAAGGAATTAACGACTTGATTCTCCTTGCCCTTATTTAATCTGAATAGTGAAATACAAGCTTTGAATACCTCAGCCATTATAAGCCAAGGAATTGGTCCAAGCCCTATAGAGAAGCCAGCCACCATTGCCTAGAGAAAAACAGTTGATTCAACTGATGAGTACTCAAGATACTTCAAAGAATAAAAAGGACATCAAACATATCCCAACTCCCAAGAAACATACCACAAGCCCAACCACCGAGATTATTTCCCAAATGCTGTATAGATTAGACCCCTCTGATACGACAGCCTGTATTAATAAAGATAAAACAAATTATAAATAAAGCAGAGCTCCTTACAGTACACCAAGCTAGTGCCGTTACCAAGTGCCAACCTCCAAATAGAATGCTATAGCAACAAGGATGAGGCTAAATGTCATTAAAGAGGAGGATATCTGCAGAAGCAATAACAGATTTCAGAATTTTCAAATTCCATGTTCATCGTCTAAAACATTACGTGTCAATAAGTTTTTTAGAAATTTGATTTGTCCTTGATACATACTATTAAGAGAGCCCTCCGGCCAGTTTTGTCCGCCAACCAAGCTGCGATTGCAGTCACCAAAACCTGGAAAAGATAGTTGTTAAAGAGAGCGAATTTACTATCTTGATATTCACATGAATTTTATGGCATAATGGCGAACCTGAACAGCTCCAAGACCAACTGTAGCAGTCTTGCTGGATGAAATTCCTGGCACAAGAAGGAAGTCAAATTTCAGAAAGAGCACTTTGGAGCTACCACAACTGTCATCTAATGTTAGAAATTAGTTTTTCACCACTTAGAGCTGAAAATTAACAAATAAGAAATTTAAATAATACAGGGGAACCAACCACCATCTTTACACAGGCTCAATCAGCAACGCAGCCAAAATCCAGAGTCAATAAATTTTTAAACACATCACTATGACATGAAAAGAACCACAAAAGTCATGGGAGGACAACAGGAACTGGAGATTATGCCAATTTGTAGTACAAGTCAACAAATATCTCATCTAAAACCATGTTGTAGCATGTCAAATGTATGAATTTCGAGGATTCTTAACTCCTCTTCATCCTGAAAAAACATTTAACATATGTCCCAATCCTCCCATTCCCCAATATCTGAATCCCCACCCCTTTTTATAAAAAATATATAAAAATGAACAAGAAAATTATATGAAAAATAAAATCAACAGCTGACAGCTGATTAGCAAGTCTAACCTGCATTTGAAAAGATGGTACTTGAATAGAACAAAACTCCATTAATACCACTCAATTGCTGGAGGACAAGTAATCCAATTCCTATCTGCAGTCACTTTATTACCCTAAAGTTTAGGTTTCTCAAACTCTCATGTGAATAAATAATAATATATCAAACTAGGAAACAGATGGAGACCGCAATTAAGATGAATTATAGCATACCATCAAAGGAAACCAGTATCTTTTTCTCTTGAGATCTGCAAATCGAATTGTAACTCTTTTTCCTGTTGATGCCACAGATCGCTGAGAAAGAGAATTCGGCTTAGCAAAAAATGGCTCTCAGTGCAGGTTATAGACACCAAATCACACCTCGCCTACACTTATCATCATGCATCATAGCATTTCATCAACGTTGTTTTGCTATTTTAGGTGGCAGAATGAGCAAAATACCTTGATTTCGTGCACTTCAACAGAGATATCAGTGTCAAATCCCCGTAAAACTTGCAAGGAAGTCTCAAACTCTTCTGTCATCCCCATCTTGGCCTGGTTTTGCCAAATCCCCCCAAAAAAAAAAACAACGAAAAGAAAAAACCGGGAAGAAAATAGAGAAAGATATAAATCAGCTATAGCAAAGGTACAGAAATTCAATCAGCACCAAGTTAAATGGCAGATGATTCATACCAGCCATCTGGGAGATTCTGGTATAAAGAATAGCCCAGGAATTAGCACCGTACATGGTAGAATTCCTGCAAAAGGAAGGAACATACTAAGAGAATGTCCTTGAAATAATAATGATATCAACTAAACAAAATGTTTTAAAGCACCTATCTCAAAATATTCTGTCAACTGTTTGATGTCAGATATGCATGCAACTTCGAAACATTCAAAACAGTCTGCATGATTTAATAATAAGGAATTTACCTAGAACTGCAAGCAACCTCCAGTTCACAAAAAGGCCGAACAGATAAGCCAGCAGTATTCCAATTGTGACGGAGAGCTGAGCAAACAGAAGACAAATATTAAAAATAGATAGAATAATGGAGCAGATTAAGGTGGGATTAAGGAGCAACATTAAGCAGCCTACCTGGTTAACTGATCCAAGGCTACCTCTCATGTTTTGAGGTGATATCTCAGCAATATAAACAGGTACCTTGAGAAAAGAAAGACAACTATTTCCATTCAGAATTTTTCCTATGGATCCCAGCATATAAGAAAAGAAAACAGGGCTATCAAGGTTATTACCACGTAAGAAATTATCCCAACGCCAAATCCTTCCAATAACCGCCCCATGAATAAAAAAGATGAGTCCTATATAGAATCAGCAATCAAAATATAAGGTTATAAACTAAGATAAAGAAGGAATAGGGTATCAAATAAAAGTTCCCATATTATTGCTTACTTTCGCGAAAGAAATGGCAAGCCATCCTATTATGTTGGGGATTGCGGCAACCATTAGTGACTGCAATTCAAACACCGAGGTATCACACATCGCAGTCGTAGATAGCCTTGCAAGAGTAAATAAACACAAAAATCATAGTTACCCCTTTACGCCCAATGTACTCTGACATTTGACCGCTGGTTATTGCTCCCACCATCGCACCCACGTTTGATAAAGACCCAAACAGAGAAAACTGTAATCGATAATATATTCGGCCAAAGAATTATTATTATCAACATGAAATTTGGAACATCATTCAATTAAATACATAAACAAATGCAGCCAAACCTCCGAGACGGAGAGGTTCAGATCGCTGATTATGCTCTCTTGAGTAGGAGAAGAGTACCCACACTGAAAAAACCATATAATCACAGAAGGAGGGGGGGTCGCTAATAGCTTTCAATGATTATCAAGACGAAATATAATAAGATTGGATACAGATAAAGCACCGTAAAACCGAATTGAATAGGACCCAAGGCGGCGACGAGGACGCAGAAGAGAACGGAGACAGACCCATCTCGTATGACCTGAGCTGAGGAGCCCATGATGCTGGACTGCCTCGAGCCCATCCTGTACCAGCTTCCAGTTTGAAGGAAGGGCTTCCTAAGATCCCTCCCATCCTCATTATCGTCTCTGAAGCTCATCACGGCAATCTCAGAACCTCAAGCGAAGTCGAAGTTGTGGATTGAACTTGAATGATAATTTTCCAGAGATCCAAGTGGGTGAGTGATAGATAACTGTAATTCTGCCGAAGTTCCGAAGTTTTGAGGGGACGGGAAGACAGCGATATATAAGTGTGAATTGATCTTTTGTACTTCCCAAGGATTTCAGTAATAATTCTACCAAGTACAGCTCGCCGTCAAAATTGTGTCAGACTGGATTTCATGACAGTACTTTCCCCCCTATTTTTCGTTATCGTTTCCGCCATTCATTGTTGTTCTGTCAATACTCTATTATTGTGCTAGGATTTATCTTACCGCAATAATTTTTGACGTGGATGTTTGCTTCTTGATTTATGTACTATTGATTGAGGATTTAACATGCTTTTTCTGGACAAAGAATTTGGATGCGACTTTGAAAACTGAATCCAGCAAACAATATCATTAGAATATTTGAGAGTTTGAAACGTGCAGATGATGGAATCCGAATTTTATTAAGCTGGAGAAAATAGATGGATATGTAAAAAAAATTAAAATTGCTCATGTTACTTATGATCTTGCTCTGAGTCCGTCTAACTTATCTAATGAATAACTTTAAAAGATCGAAATCTAAATTTTGTGATAGGGGGTGGCTGTGTTCACCATCCAGTGGAGTCGGTGCCCGCCGCCAGGTGCTTTGAGACGATGAAAGATGTTTGTCAGATGGATTCGCTACGTGGCGCATTTTCTGGATTATGGAACAGAAAATCGCCTTAAAAAACCATAATGTGAAGCCGGGTAAAACAATAATTTACTAACCTCCATTGGTATCTTTTGTTTTTTTTTTTATTTTTGTCAAAAATATTTAAGTGAGATTTAAATTATCTATCAACAAAATCTTTACATCCACAATAAAATTTATAAATTATGGATCAAGTTCTTGCACTGACCTCTCAAGGCATTCACTTCTTTCCCAATAATTGTTCTCTTTGATTGCAATTCTTTGATCTTCTTTTATTTCGCTTGTAATAGATCCCGAGGTCAATAACATCCTACAAAAAAATCCACATGATTATCATAATCACGAAAAATGCTTGAACGAAAGTAAGCAGGTGTGATTTGGCAAAATAAAAAAACAGGCGTGTAGTGATCTCAAATATGAGGAAGCAGTTGTCGTTGATTCAGACGTTCAATGCAATGCGATCGGGTTGCCGGTGTTTTGATAAAAATAAGAGAAAATTTCATCCAAATATCAAATAGTAGACTTATTTTAAAAATAAGTTTCCCAAATTTATTAAAATACTTCCAATTTTTTAGAGCTTGGTTGCAATTAAACCCTCATAAATGACACGTATAACTCTTAACACACTCCCCTGACCCGCACTAACTGATGTCTGTAATTGAAGAGGTGAGCACCTTTTGACGATTCGTCAATGATAGTTGATAATCCGATTTTAAAAAGAATAATACACAGTATTAATCTCAATAGAGGCACACATATTTAATTTGTTTATGTTTATTTATAATTAAGAAATAAATTAATTAAAATTAGATATAATTCAGTCTTTCAGAAATTAAAAATCAGGATTAAAATTGAAATTATGAAATTTAAAAATCAAGATGAAACACTCACCCATTTTTATCACAAGAGAAACCGTGTATATTTTATTATTTTCTTATAAATAAAATTACAAAACTTAATAAGTATTTATTAATTTTTTCCTAAAATTACCTCTTACAAATTCTATACAGCGTAGTCTTCAATTGTAAATTATTTCTCGCAAAAACTGCTGCTTTCGTAAATTATTTTGGAAAGCATCTTATTAGTAATTTCAGGTTTTTTTACTTGAGGGGGTGCCTCCTGATCTTTTTCTTTTTAACTTTTACAATCTTATCATATTTACTACTCTTTTTTTCAGACAAATTCTTTTAAGTGTCCCTTGCACATCTATCATTTCCTCAAACATCCCTTTATATTTTTTCTCTGTCCAAGAATTCTGGTTAAATTTGTGCAAATCAGTCACTTTAGACTTCCTTTTTTCTTTGGTTTTTTTTCCTTCACCATTATGTACTTTGATAAAAATTAACCAAACCTGCTCCATTTGAAATGGAAGAAGAAATTTCACTCAAAAATTTAAAAAGCGATGGCATTATTTGAATAAATATTGCAAACTTAACAAAACTGGCAACAACTTCCTATGTTGTACCTTTAGATCGTCCTCCAATGCCGTCATTAATGTACCACCACACGTGCTTGATTCTTCTTTCACTTCACCAGCAACGACCACCACTAATGCTGACATTAACCAGGACGTAGTGACCTTCAATAGGTATGCGATCGATTGCGTGCTTGAAGATTGTTTGCATTTCACTTTGTTTGCTTTGCAATTCTAATAAGAGGAAAATGATCATTACGCGGGTCTCGTTTGATGTCAAAAAAGGATCCAAATCCTTATCTGCAAATAAATTTTTTTGAGGTTATTTTGGGTAATTTTTCCTTAATTATTTTTGTTTTCAGTTCTTTTACAGCATCCGTGCTTCTCTCCCGTAACCCTAGAAACAGCCCTAATTCTCAGAATGGGGAGACTAACTCGATCCCAAACCAAAATCATTTCTAATTCGGAGCTTCAGTCTGAGGATCGTCAGTCTACAACCACGACCGCTACTCCTTCATTACACCCTCCTCCACCAAATTCTTCCAAAATCTCATTTCGGGCTCGAAAAATTCGAAGAGTCACATCCGATGCAGATGATCACAAACTTCCCCAGATTGCCGACGCAGAAGCGTCCAAGGCTTCACTCTCAGAAGCCAATGCTATCATTTCGGAGAAGGGAACCCCATCTGCATCTCCCTCCGTTTTGCCCATGATAGTTAAGCCGTTGACGTTGGAAGGCGAAATCGATCTCGCTCTCCAGCATTTGCGCTTGTCTGATTCCCTCTTAGCGTCTTGTATTGACTCTTTTCGCCCTCCCGAGTTCCCTACTCATCGCCCAGCATTTCTATCTCTCACAAAAAGCATTGTTTGCCAGCAACTTTCTAACCAGGCCGCCAAATCGATCCACACCCGTTTCGTCTCACTCTGTGGAGGCGAGGCTTCAGTTCTTCCTGAGACAGTGCTCGGACTGTCGGTACAGCAACTTCGAGAAGTTGGAATCTCTGGACAGAAAGCAGGTTACCTTCATGATCTGGCAAGCAAATACAAGGAAGGTTTACTATCAGATTCTTCGATACTTGAAATGGATGACGAAACCCTGTTTAATAAGCTTACTATGGTGAAGGGGATTGGGCCTTGGTCAGTGCATATGTTCATGATCTTCACACTTCACAGACCGGACGTTCTTCCTGTAGGGGATCTGATTGTTAAAAGAGGCGTGGAGCGATTGTATGGCCTTAAAGCATTGCCAAAGCCTTTGCAAATGGAGAAGTTATGCGAGAAGTGGAGGCCATATAGGTCTGTTGGGTCTTGGTATATGTATAGGCTCATGGAAGCAAAGGAGGTTTTGCCGACATTGCCAGCTGTAGAAGTAGCGTCGACATTGGCGGGTGATACTGTGCCAGAGCAGCAACAAATGGAATAGCCTCACCAATGTTACCCTTCAATGGAATTGCAAGCCTGGAATTTTGTGCTTTTGTCAATCTTCATCTTCAACTAGATGGTGAATTTGTGTTTGGTTTGCTATTAAATTATCATAGAAGTTTGATTTAACATCCAGTGACCCCTCATTTATAAAGTTCGATTGGACTTCTCAATTCCTGTTATAATTAGCAAGTGCGGGTATAGTTATATTTATTTGAAAGGAAAAGGGAATGTTTATTGATGTTGCGTCTCGTAGGTGTCTTATTGGAAATGTACAGGGATTTACGTGATTGATGAAAGAAAGGGCACTGCTGGATTCGACTCTTCTGTGAGATTTCTGTATTTTGGATGGCTGGTCATCGTCATGCAGGGTTTATTGCGGTAAGTTTGGAAATGATAGAGGTCCTATCAGAAGGAATGATTTGGGCTTGTTATTATCTCAAGTGCCTCAAACACTGTTGATTTTTTAATGTGTGAGGTAGCCAATAGAGATCTCATGCTTTCTGGGTGTGGGTGTCCTAGTCCTTACCATGAATGGATATGGGAGGGTGAAAATCTTCTTATTCTGGCTTTGGTTATCAGAATAAAGCCAATCGAATAAAACTATAATAAAAGCATATTAGCCACCAACTTAATCCCATTGTGATCACTTACTCGAGGGCGATCTAGTGCACATCAGGCACGATTGAATTGCAGGTGCTCCAGTTATGGAAGTTCAACATTATTTCATGCCTCTGTCCTCGATAAACCAGCAAGAGGATCGGCTTGGGAGGTCCTGGCCACCTGGGTGAGGAATGATAATGGCTAATGCTTTGCTCTCTCCCACTCGATGGCAGTATTTATAACGTTCGTACTTTTTTAATTACCCAGTATCTAATTATCATCAATCTAGATTTAAGCTATGCCTGGGCTTAAAAAAAAAAAGAAGGGAAAATTGCTAGTATGTCTCAGATCAAGTTCTGTCCCAATAAAGGATTTACTAGCATTTTCCCGAGAAAGAATTATTGTTTTATACAATTTTTTTATTTACAAATTTCGAATGTAGGCCTTTTTGGCCGTGCCCGATCATAGTTGCTTGATGGGGTTTGATTTTACTAATTCTATTTATTTTGTAAATAGGCTAATACATTGCACACAATTTTTAAAATGATTCAAAATGTACAGCTTTAGATTTAATATTGGACTCTGCAATTTTTTTTCATGTTTAGGAAAGGTGTTAATCAGGAATCAGTGTGGGCTAGTGGGGGTTTATGGTAGAGTCGGTAATAATTTGCCTAAAAAAATTTAGACTTGAACTTCAAACAGATATTTTTGGTTAAAATAGGCCTGAAAAAATTTATGCAAGGATAAAAAAATTTATTTTTAAAAATATATAAATATTAATTAATTCTTTAAGTTTTATCTCACTTTATGTTAAAATATTATATATGTTAATCTTATATATTGTTTAAGTATCAAAAAAATATATTTTATAAAATAAAATAATTAATTTTAAAGTAAAAAAATTAATTAAAAATAATTTAAAAAATAAATTTAGGGTATTCAAAGTGTTTGAAACTTACAAGAATTCAGGTTGGTTTTGCTATTTTGGTTCATTCGGGTTGAGCTTATTCGAATTTTTAACTCTAGTTTATGGCTAAAGCAAAATCAATATAGTATGGGTTTTTAACTTTTAACCCTAATCACATGGAGTAATGACTAACTTAAAATCTTAAGAGAATTTTAATTAAAGATCTAGGAAGAAGTTTAATTTTAAGTGGGTCAAAAAATATTTTAAAATTTTAGTTTAGTTAAGGGAAGAAAAGTTAAAAGAATTTGGATAGTGAAAATATCAAAATACTTTTCACATGTTATGCAGAATTATTAATTATTAATTTTCTTATTACACTTGTTAATTTATTAATATCACTTGTAAATAACATTCGTTTGTCAAACAATTAATAAGACTGGTTATTAATTTGTTAACTTTACTTGTTAATTTATTAATATCAGTTGTAAATTACAAAAATTTTCAATAATTGACAATTGGTGTTAGTAAATTATAAGATCTGTCAGAAATTTACAACTGATATTAGTCAATTAATAAGTAAAGTTAGCAATTTAACAATTAATGTTGTTATTTATGATTGAAAAACTTATATTGCAAATCTTATATAATTATTGACATGTCAACTCATGTAATTTATAATTGATATTCATAAACCAATAAGTGGAGTAATAAAATTAATAAATAATTTTGTATAATATGTAAAGGGTATTTTGATTTTTTTTATCATCAAAATTTTTTTAACTTTTATTCTCTGAACTGAACTAAAATTTTAGAGTATTTTTAAACTCATGAAATTAAGTCTCTTTTCAAATCTTTAATTAAAATTCTCTCTAAAATCTAAACCCCCTAAATATTAAGGGCAAGTGAAGAATATGAGCGATATGAAGAGTCTAAATTTTGCCGAGGCAGTGGACGCCTGGTTATTTCAGTTGTAGCACCGTCTTTTTCAATTTAGAAAGAAGTTTCGGATTTGAACCTGACATTAAAATGTTTGCGTGCTTATGAAACCCCCCCCCCCCAATACGCCCCTCAAGGGTGCCGGATTAGAGATGATTTTTTTTTTTTAAAAAAAAGAAATCTGTCGGTATGAAAATAATATCCCAAACTTCCTTGATTCTCCATCATTGAACTTGATGGCTCCTGCCACTTAACTTATGAAGTGCCAAAGAAGTAGCTGGATTTGTCGTTTTTTGTGACAATCTATTGGCAAGCTTGGAAGTATTGAAGTCACATTAGATTATTAAGATAAAATAAATAATAATAATAAAAATAAAAATAAAATAATTAAAAAAAATGAGTGAGCACGTTCATGAAAAAAATAATTTAATTTATTAAATTAAAAATTATAATTTATAAAATTTTTAAAATATATAATAATTTTTATATTTATAATATATATTAATAAATTTTATCATATTTACTATCAGAAGGAAGGTGATTGAATTTATTTTGTTTTAATTTTTTAATTCATTTCATTAAATTTTAGTGGATAAACGTGACCTAAACGAAGCAGGGATACCAAAAGTACGGTTGATGAGACTTGGCGGGCTGTCATGTAGGCCATGAATAGTTGGGTCAGCTGGGCTCAACCTTGCGTGAGTCGTGCAGAGTGTGGGCCCGGGGGAATTTAGGTTAAGGCACGTGCTTGTCAGCCTTGTTCGTTTAGGAAAGGCAATACTAATCTGAAGTGAAGGATGGTTCTCGATGACTGTGACTGGGGCCATGAATCGTAAAAGAGAGAACCCAAAAAGAAAAAGCAAAGGGCAAGACCGTCTGCAACTGGCAAGGAAAAGACAACGAGTGGTACCATGTTCACAGGCAGCATCCACTTCACGGCATTCTAACCACACATTCTTAAACATCCGCTATCCGACAATGGAAGCGCTACGCGACAATAAACTCACAGGGACCACTTCCCTCCAGGTTCTCAAGATCATTTTTTCCTCGGAACAAATATGCAAGTGTCACCATTAACTTGGCTCCTATCCCTAACATCGTATTTAAATATCAAATGTGAGGATTTTGATGTTCTTTGAACCGTGGAGCATACATTAGCCCAAGTAAGCCCTGAAACTAACGGTGGAGTCACGTCTAGGTGATGAAGAAATTACATGTCATCAACATGGAATTTTAGATTCTGCGTCTCATTCCTGCCAAGTTTTGTGCCGCAATTTTTAAATATTAAACTCATTTAACTTTTTCTCTAAATTCGTCTAAAATTTTCAACCTTTTTAGAGTTAAAGTTCGGTAATAAAATAAATTTATATAAATAATTTTAAAAAAAAAATTACCCCCCAATCCACGGTCCTATCTTCCAATGCCCCCCCAATATCTGTTGAATTAATTGATTTTTTTAAAAAAGCTTATAATCATGTGATTAAGATTTTTAAAAATTTTCTAGTTTGCTGTAACGAAGGAAATTTTGATACTCCGGGCTGTGTCCTGGTTTTTTTTGTACTATACTATATTTAAGTCAAAAGTTCAAATGTCTTTATTTTGAACGGGTTATTGTTATACTATACTTTGTGCTTCTCATTTCATTGGGATGCACAGATACTAAAAATAGGAGACTTACATTTAAAAATAGAAATTGACTGTTGAAATCAGAGTGTTAGACATTAAGACATGGAATGAAATCAACGAAAGAGAGACGAATAATATTTGAATATTTAGCAATTAACAAGAGATTACCAGAAAATTCAAGCTTTAAAAAAACATCATTGTCCGTCCTTTATTTCAATTTTCAATAACCCATCTAATAAATATAATCTTTTCAGATTTTTTACCAGAAATCTTTTTAGATTATTAAATTATTATAAAATATTTGCTTTTAATGTTATAACGAAGCAATGATTTTGGTGAACGCTGGAGAGAGATTTTAGAATAAATGCTTCTAGTAAAGGGAGAAAGCGCGCGCAATTGGATGAGGTGCTTCAATGTTCAATTGATTCATTCAGTTTCAGTGATTCGGAGGAAATCGGAAAAAATGAAAATAAAATTAAGCTCGAAACGTTGCATATAGTTAATTTCGGATCGGGGGACCAAGTTATTATGAAAAGAGTGAGACTTAGGTTTTAAAATATTAAATTAATAATAGCTAAATTTTTGACAACTTTGTTTAAAAAATAATTTAAAAATATCAACTCACACAATTATAAATTTAAAAATTTTTAATTGCCAATTAGTATTTAAAAATCAGACGTAACTCTTTATTCTTTCATTTGAAATTATAAGACAACGTCAGACAATTTGACAATAATAGATGATGGAATATGAGATAATAATTAATCAAGATAATTAAAATTTATCTAATATATTAAGATTATTCATCACGGGTATTTATTCATTAGAATCAAAATTTATTATTTATTTTATTATTATTTAGATATTAGTATTTTTAAGATTATATTTATATTTAAAAGTTGGGATTTTAGTTTAAATTATTATTATTATTTTATTATTTATAGAGCCTTATAAATAGAGTTAAATCTTTTATTTGTATTCAGCCTTTGAGTATTATTGAATAAAAGTTTTTGACATTTTTAACCTTTTCTCTCCCTTCTCCTTCTCCTTTCTCTGTTTCCCTCTCCCCTTCTCATTTCACATTAATAAATTTTATTAATGAGATTTTTTTAATATTATTTTTTAAGTAAAAAAATTGAAATGATATTATAATATTCTCTCTCTCTATTTTTTATTCTGAGTTAGAAAAATTTCTACTTTTGATCTGTTTTTCTATAAACAAAGTCACAAATATTAATAAGCATTTATTATAATTTTCTA